ATTCGCTTCTCCTAACGACAGGAAGTACCGACGACTAACAAAAGGTCGCGTCCTGGATGGTATATATCACGATCTATAATCCCTGAAATTTTCATATTGATATCTTTTACCGTTTTTGAGTTTAATCGTGGACAAAATGTCATTTTAATTTCAGAAAATTGTCCGTAACTTGGCACCGGAAGTGAGTTTCCAAATTTTCTCTCGGATATACTAAATTCATGAAACAACACACCTGTCCTGAAAATTTCATGTAATTTCATCCAGTAGTCTTTGAGAAATCGCATGCACAAAATTAGAAAGTCAAAAAAAAAATAATAATAATAATAATAAGAAACAATAGAATCACTATAAGGTCTTCCGTGAAGACGGAAGACCTTAATAATGATCCTTGATTAAGTCTCTTAATGTTCCTAGTGTAGTCTACTTGCATGCCACATTATATTATAATCAGACTTAAACTGTATTTGAAGTAGCATTTTGAGAGTATTTAACAGAAATTTCCGTTTTTAGTAACCATTGTCCAAGGCAATAATGTTCATCCAAGTCAAAAAACGATATACAGAATTGTGTATCTTTGTGTATTCTACTTTGTGTACCAAGTTATATTGAAATCAGACCAAAACTAAAAGAGACGTAGCATTTTAACAGAATTTCACAGAAATTTCTATTTTTAGTAACCACGGCAACACCGTTCATTGAAATCAAAAACCGATAAACAGAATTATGTATCTAAGCGTAGTCTACTTTTGTGCCAAGTTATATTGAAATCAGACCATAGCTGTAAATGATGTAGCATTTTGAAAGAACTTCACAGAAATTTCTATTTTTAGTAAACATGGCAACACCGTTCATCAAAATCAAAAACCGGTAAAATGAATTATGTACCTTAGTGTAGTCTACTTGTGTGTAAAGTTATACTGAAATCAGACCAAAACTGTAGGAAGAGTAGCATTTTGAAAAAATTGTTTACAGACAGACGGACAGACGCCAGACGCATTACTATCACATAAGCTCTTCTGGTCTCTAACTAGTAGAGCTAAAAATGTGCACCGTATACAATAGCATATTCTTAGAAAAAGTCTTCAAGTATACAGTTAAATAATTATCATGACAAAAAAAGAACCAAAATGGTTGCATCAACATCAGTACAAATAAAAGTTTTTAACATTGGGAATTAAAAAATAAAAACATTATCTCTTCAATGATATTGTCTTGTTTGTTGCAAAACTAATAGCATTTATATTTCATATTTTTCCTACCTCATAAGTGATTTTCAAGCTGCTCTGTAGGAGGATTGTGGGAAATTTAGGATGCACTTCTGCTGTCATTCAGAGTCTGAAATCTTCATGTGGCTTCAATGTGTTTATTTCCTAAAAACAAAAATTGTGTTACTCCAGTTTGACAGAAGAAACCTGCAAAAATCTGAACATTGGTCTAAAATTTCCCAAAAATCTTTCACAGAAAGAAGAAAGAACTAAGTGATACCTTTTCCAGCTGAGGCAGCCAGGCTGTTACAAGATGGAGGTTCTTCAGACACAGCCATTCTCCATTCTGAGCACACTCCCTCAGACACTGTATGTCAGACTGACCTTGACCCATAGCAACCTGTCAAGAAATAGTTCAATACCCCAGTAAGATAAAATCTGACCAAAATAGAGAAAGCACTTATGCAAGTAATAAGACACTTTTTAAATATGTTTTCACCAATTTTTGAGCCAATAGAAACAAGAGGCCCAGGGGCCACATCGCTCATCAGATCAGAACTGAAAATTTACTGGGGGGTGGGGGGGCTTGAATTTTAACCCCCCAGGGGTTCATGATTTTAACAGACTAGAATCTACACTACCTGAGGATGATTCCCTATAAATATCACTAAGCATGGTTTTGAAGTACTTGAAAAGAAGATTTTAAAAGGTTTCCCCAAATATTCCTATGGAAAACTTATCGGCCATTTGGCCCCATCCTACCCCCAGGGGTCATGATTTGAACAAATTTGAATCTACACTACCTAAGGATGATTCCACATTAGTTTCATGTGGAATGGCCAAGTAGTTCTTGAGGAGAAGATTTTTAAAGATTTTTCCTATATATTCCTATGTTAAACTTTGATCAGCCATTTTGGCCCCACTGTACCCCCAGGGGTCATGATTTGAACAAATTTAAATCTACACTACCTGAGTATGATTCCATATGAGTTTCATCTTTCCTGGCCCAGTGGTTCTTGAGAAGAAGATTTTTTAAAAATGCCATAATTTTTTCTCTAATTCATAATTATCTCCCCTTGGAAAAGGGCGTGGCCCTTCATTTGAACAAATTTGAATCCCCTTTACCCAAAAATACTTTGTAGCAAGTTTTGTTGAAATTGGCCCAGTGGTTCTTGAGAAGAAGATGAAAATGTGAAAAGTTTACAACAACGATGACGACGACAACGAAGACAACGACAACAACAGACAACAGACAAATTTTGATCAGAAAAGCTCACTTGAGCATTTGGCTCAGGTGAGCTAAAAATGAAATTGAATTCAGTGACAAACCTGGTGGTATTTATCACCACCTAAAGTCTGAGCAGCCAAGTCCTGTAACTCTTATGAGGAGTCAACACCAGGGGAGATAATAATCAGAATAGGCTCGGATGGCAAAGTCTCTGTTTCCAGGAGTCTCTTGAGATTCAAAGAAGGGGGAGAAAGCTCCTTCATTCCTACAGTATAAAATTAGAAATCTTTTATGACTATCTTATTAAGCTAAAACTGTTAAGTCAAAGGGAGATAAAAGATATGGAATATGAAAATTGGATGAAAAAAAAATTATGAGTAAAGATTTATAATACTGTAGATTTCTTAATTTTCACCACTCCTTATTTTTGCGAGATACTCTTGATTAGCGGGACAAAATTTTCATGAATTGTGTTTATTGCTCTACTTAATCTCAATGAATACTATCATATGTGAGAATTAAATTTTTGCAAGCACATCGTATTGCGTAATTACGCGAAAATAAAGATATACAGTAATGGATATCTAAGTCTGCAAACTAATGCAACCATAGTTACTTTTAACTTCATTTATCTTAAGGCATTCACATAAGAACTATGTACAAGATCTTCACCAAATTTTGTAGAAAGAATTGTGCAGGAACTGGCAAATTGCTTATTCTTTACATAGCAGTATGTACCTAACTCAAAAAGATGCTAACCTAAAGCCTTGCAGGCAAACAGTCCCATGGCAGTCTGTAGTCTGTCTGGCCTGACTGCCTGGACTACAAGTAACTGCTGGAATAGAGTGACTCGCTTCTCAATCACTGAGGGGAACTCCTTCTCACACTTGTTACTATGGGAGAAGTTAGACCACAGAAACTCATCATCAAAGTTCAGCACCTGGTACAACTTTGGGAAATTGTTCTGCAACAAATATTTACATTTTTTTAATAAATAAGAACTTTTGTGTTTGAGAATCCCCCTTCCCCCTTTAATTGAGGTCAGAAAATTAAACTTGACTGGTTGCTTTCGTTCTGGACAAAGAAGAAAAGTCACATTCGTCCATTTTTGGCCCTGTGATTTTTTGAAAAATCAGTACAACTCAATTTTAGTTAAAAAAATGTTAAATTTCACTTGGACCCTTGGTGACTTCATATCAAATTTTGTCTCTTGTCTATGTAATATGACGTCATGAATTTCGACATTTTCCTCAAATCTGGAAAAATTCTCTAAAAATGACAAAAAAATTAAGCTGTTTTTTAATATTTTGCATAGCCCCCAACCTATGATCTAAATTATTTAATTATAAAATGGAAGAACAATTTCAGAAGATTCTAGTCCATGGAAAATTTTTTGGATCGCGGGGTGGGCTCAAAGTTAAAGATGCTCAATTTCACCCATTTTCTTAAAAAATCAAGGACATTGCAGTTTCACAACGTCGGAGTTTCCAAACTTTTGACTCTCATACAATTTTTTTTTTACATGAACTGAAGGTTCTAAGTCGCTACTTTATGTTGATGTCCAAAATGGGACCTTAGGACTTGGTCAGTGAATTGTTATATTGACAAGGCCATTTATGGAGTTTGTGAACCTACCTCTTTGTTTAAGAAACTAACACAACAGAGAGAAAAAAATTCTAATGCTTCATTTTCTAGTGAATAGAAAACAAAATCCATTTTGTTTTCATATTAAATCCTTAAATACACGAGCATCTGAAGCTTGTTCAACAAAGCCAACATTTCTGTTGAAGGGATAAAGAATTTTGGAGAGTCCTTGCGAACATTCATTCTGTTAAAAAGGCCTCTAGTTTACCTTGAAATTGGTGACAGCAGTGTGCCTCTCTTGATCAACCCAGAAGGGTAATCCCCGCCCTCCCTTCGACTTCACATCAGACACCAGGATTCCTGTGAAACCCTTCCAGTCCTGTAAAACAGTCAACAAATCAAAGAACTCAGAAGTACAGAGAGCCGGGCTCATTTACAGAGTAGAATGAATTTCTTATATGAATCATACGTTTATATTCTGATGAAAAAAATTATTTTAAAACTATCAATATAAATGATAAGACACTGACAGTGAGTTTTTCAATCCTTAGATACCATGGTCCGATTTTGTCAAAATCAGAATTAATCTGGTACCGTAGCTGAATGTAAACAAACAGGCCAGTCTGGTTCCCTCTCCTGCTTTACCTCGTATGTGTAGAGAACTACAATAACACTGATTATCAAAAATCCTTACGCTAATGAACTATGTTCTTTGACTTAGAACTGAAGTTTTCAAAGTCATTACTACTTAAGTTTTATAAAGATAAAACTTCATTTTACTTTTGTTGCTATATTTAGCGTTTGTATTATCTCAAAAGCAGTTGAGAGCAAGAACTATATTTTTACTCATAACTTTAAAATGGCGATTATGGGGTTGACTTCCTGCCTTGAACAGGATGACATAAGCTGTCAGTTGCTCTTTGAGAAATAAGCCTTGCTAAAAAATCAACATTTTTACAGAACTTTTTGAATATTCCATTTTTAACAAATATTTTTGCAACAAATAGAGAGTTTCCTCTTATTTTGAACATTGCTTAAAGCTAATGTACAAAGGTTTTATTCAAACTTCTCTGGTTTCATTCCATGCACCATGTGAAGGGTAAACATGAGTCGATCTGCTTTGAACAGAGAGCGGCAGACGTATTTATACACCAGATTCTGTAGTCTCTGAGTCAGGGCTCGGATTCTGTGGTCAGTCTCACTGCCGTCCTGTAAATGTATAGTCAAGTAAAGAGTTAGCTTAATCAGCTTCACCTCTATATACTTTTTCTGAACTCTAATAAAAAAACATCAATATGACAAGAAGAGATAAAAATATATTTAGAATTGATACAAATAATATAAATCTATAGAAAAAAATTATATGAAAATTCTATTTTTAAAATGTCAGAAGCAAAGAAAAATTGATTGAGAGAAAATTTAAGATATAAGCTGAAATACATTACTTGTTTGGTCTTAAGAGCTTTCTGGAAGATTCTCAGGAAGGCAGCCAGACTGAATCTGTACATGTTGTTGATTTTAGCCAAGTCACTGGTGACAAAGTACATCCTACTACCACTCTCTGCTAGAGGCAGGTAGGTCTCCTCTAAAATAAAATGATCAATAAATCAAAAGATTATTGTTTTACAGGAAAAATTGATATCGGTAATACATGAGGAAATATGTTTCACTTGATTTTCCAAAAGAAATTAATTCACATGAAAAGGACACAAAATGGTTACATTGTCAGATGTATTTTACTGAAAAAAAGACTGAAGTAAAATTTACATGAAAAATTGTGTGTGATAAAAAAAATTAATTTGAAATTCTTCATGTTCTTTCCAAGTGAAATTTACATAAACTACAATAAACTTGCATATTTAGCTGTGATAAAAATACCTTTAGATTTCTTTATAAGAAATATGCAGAAATTAGGTATTCAAGAAGTTCTCACAAAGCCACCAAGATAATTAAGACCATTACCTGAGACAAAGTCCCTACTATAATGATTTTATTAAAAAATAAAGTAAGTTTTTTGTGAATGTTGTAGGATAACCTCCAAGGTTGAGAAATGTTCCTGAGGCTTTTATATTTCAAAAAACTCGGAGTTTATCCTGCATTGTGTTAAAATTTGAAGCATCTGCAATGAGTAGTTGCTGAGAAAACTGCGACGAAAGTTTGTTACGGACGGACAGACAGACGGAAGGACAGACAGACAGACACACAAGGGGAAAACAGTATACCCCCCTCTCCTCTCAGAGCAGGGGTATAAAAAGGAATATTCCTCAAAACAAAGGTCAGAAGAATATAGAGATCACCTGCCCAGTCTAATTTCTTGTTCCTATAAGAAGTCTAAATAAAGAAAAGTTTCAAGACATTGTATGGCCAAAGAAAAATGGAATGTTTGCAGATATAGATGCCAAGAGTCGAAGCAGTGAGATAAAGATTCTACAACCAGAGCCAAATGAGGTCCAGCCAGTAGACCCCTACATGGAATCAGTGTCAGATGACCCAAATTCAACATTATACAAAGTACTTCACCAAGAAAAGACGGCTAAATTGTGGAACAATTCATTTAAAGAACACACACATAAGTTTCCAGACTGTGATGGTCTACTGGACTGGTGTCGGCATAGGGAGGAAAAACGAGGCCTGGCATGGATCCTTTCCATCCATTGTAAGAAGTGCCACTATACCCAGTCACCAAGAAAAACTTTACAAAGAGGTGAGAAGACCTGGCAAGTGGCAAAGAGCTGCACAGCTGAATGTAGTCATGGCTGTCCGTCACCTGGGAACCAGTCTTACACCAGAGGGTATGCCTGGTATGCTTCTTGGTGCAAATACTGAACCAGCCTCAGTTGCCAACATGCAACAGCCCTGGAACAAGTGGGGAAAACTATTACATATGTAAATAAAAACAGTATGAAGAAAATTAGGAAGAACATTGAAGAACTTTTAAATTAAAAATGTGGACTTCCTGATACCCCCATCAGAATGGAAGGAGATGCTTGGTTCATTAATGCCACATTCAGTGCCATTGGAAAAACCCCATTCCAGGCTGCCACCTAAGTGACTAATACACCGTAAGTGAAAATGTAACTCAGAAGTAAAATGTGGTAGCAGTTCTCTGTAGAAATAAACTATGCAAGAAAGGCGCACACCTACGAAGCAAAGGGAAGGAAGTTACCTGCCCAGGGCACGAAGACTGCACTGCAATCACTGCAACATATGAGAAGAGATGGGCTGCTAATTGTGTTGGTGAGTTACAAAGTGATGACTGTCCACTTGTTATATCCCATTTCATAAGTGATGGAGACAGTGCCACTGCATCTGGTGCATCTGAAAAACAGGGACCAGTGATTGAAAACCTTAAGAACTTGCATCACTTCTTTGACTCTCAAAGAGAACAGACTGCTAAGGCTCTATTCAGCAATCACATATTTCCGGGAAGAACCAAGGCTATAAGAGAATCCATGCAGAGAAGATTTGCCTTGGATCTAAAGCTTCCAGGCATTAATTTACCACTTTTACCATTTCAATGCACTTCATTGTATGAAAGCCAAAGAGTTAATCCTCTTAAATTATGACCAAGTTTTAAGTTTTTTAGAAGTGGGTCAAATTCAAAGTTCAAGGATAAAAATTAAGTCTAAAGAATAATACATGTCAAAACCTGTATCTGTCTATCACACCCCATATCAACCTGAGACTCCTATATCTTGGTCGAGGGTTGATATTGGATGCGATACAGATTTTGCCATTGTATTGTATTGTTTTTATTATCTGAAAACAGTTTACATGATGTCATTAAATGTTTTTGTGACATCAGTAATTAGGCACCTGAATTTTTTTTTATAAACTTCATAAACAAATAGAAAAAGACCTGAAGTACTCCAAATAAACAAGATGTGTTTGTACACTGATGCCCCCGTATGGCAACATAGCAAAGACTAAGCTTTCTTAAATGCAAATTTAATTAATTGGTACCAAAAGTAGGGTATTCTCACTGGAAAACAATTGTGAAATTCGAAAGTAAGCTAATGTTAAAGTTTATAATAAATACAAAAATCTCCAAGGTCAAGGTCAAAAGGTCAATGTAATAAGTATCAAATGAAAGGACTTGCCACATAAAATACTTATGCAGAACATGAAAGTCCTAGCCCTAACCGTTCAGAAAGTTATGGTCAACGTTCAATTTCTTAAAAAGTAGGTCAAACTCCAAGGTCAAGGTCAAAGGGTCAAAGTTATTGTTATCAAATGAAAGGTCTTGTCATAAGGATCAAATATATAAAGTATGAAAGCATTAGCCCTAACTCTGTAAAAGTTATGGTCAAGGTTTGCTTTTTTCAAGTAAGTCAATCTCAAAGGTCAAGGTCAAAGGGTCAAAGTTCTTGGTATCCATTGAAGGGTCTTCTCACAAAAATTACATATATGTAGTATGAAAGCCCTATCCCTTACATCCCTATCAAAAGTTATGGCCAAGGTTAAAGTTTTTTCACAAGTACAAAAATCTACAAGGTCAAGGTCAAAGGGTCAAGGTTGTTGGTATCCAGTGAAAGGTCTTTTAACAAACGTTACATATGTGAAGTATAAATGTCCTGGTGTCTACTGTTCAAAAGATATGGCCAAAGTAAAATTTTAAAATTTTCATGTAAAAGTGGGTCAAATTCCAAGGTCAAGGTCAGAAGGTCAAATTTGGTGGTACCCAACTTCTTAAAAAGTAGGTCAAACTCCAAGGTCAAGGTCAAAGGGTCAAAGTTATTGTTATCAAATGAAAGGTCTTGTCATAAGGATCAAATATGTAAAGTATGAATGCATTAGCCCTAACTCTGTAAAAGTTATGGTCAAGGTTTGCTTTTTTCAAGTAGGTCAATCTCAAAGGTCAAGGTCAAAGGGTCAAAGTTCTTGGTATCCATTGAAGGGTCTTCTCACAAAAATTACATATATGTAGTATGAAAGACCTATCCCTTACATCCCTATCAAAAGTTATGGCCAAGGTTAAAGTTTTTTCACAAGTACGAAAATCTACAAGGTCAAGGTCAAAGGGTCAAGGTTGTTGGTATCCAGTGAAAGGTCTTTTAACAAACGTTACATATGTGAAGTATAAATGTCCTGGTGTCTACTGTTCAAAAGATATGGCCAAAGTAAAATTTTAAAATTTTCATGTAAAAGTGGGTCAAATTCCAAGGTCAAGGTCAGAAGGTCAAATTTGGTGGTACCCAAAGAAAGGTCTTGTCACAAGGAATACACATATGAAATATGAAAGTCATAGCTCCACTAAATCAAAAGTTATGGGCAAGTTTAAATTTTTGCGGACAAACAGACAAACAGACAGAGAGGCAGACAGACAGACGGATATGCCTGAAACTTGCTTTACGGGGGCATAAAAATACAGAGTGTTCAAAGATGTACCAGTGATAAGGGTGAAAACCTTGCTGATACAATTAGTGAATACACTGTGTAATAGATAGTTTTCAATAGGCCTGAATTTAGCGAGAGTTACTTCCCGTTGGTCGCCATACTGGAGGTCGACTAGGTGATTTTCCCTCTTTGTCTTACCAAGTTGAAGAGGTTGTTGCAGGAATATTTGGTGGAATTTCTTTAATAAATTTTTTTTTTAACTAAGGCCAGCATTTTTTTATTTTTAGGTTTACAAACCCGCCGCTCAAGTTTTTGAATTTTCAGAAAAAAAATAAAATTGAGAAAATCAGATTTTTTTCTTTCCGATGTCAAATTTGAGTCAATAATTTCAAATTTAAAAACTCGTATTCCGGTTTTAAAATGCATAACGAAGGTAGAAAATGTAAGGCAACTAAATTGGTAGAGATGTTCAAAACGTTTCACTCATGCACTTGCAATGTAAAGTGAGAAGAATGGGTGTGTTGCATTAATGTTGGTGACCCAATTTTCATCAGTTTCAACAGTGCACTGCATCTGTAAAAAATGATTGAATCCTTAAGAGTTGCATCACTTCTTTTCTCAAAGACAAAAGATCTGTTACTTTATTCAGCAATCACATTTGAACCAAGTTTTTGCATGAGAGTAAATTTGAGGATCTAAATTTAAAGAAATAAACCACTTTTACCCAAGGATAAAAATGCACTCAAATTTATGAAACAAGATATTAAAAATTACAAATATATACAGACCAAGTAAGTTTTTGGCAGTGGGTCAAAAATTATTCACACTTAAAAATTAAATTGAAAAAAAAAAAACCTGTATCATCTATACACCCCATATCAACCTGTCTGGGGTTGATATTGGATGGAATATTATTTTGCCATTGTATTGTATTGTTTTTATTATCTGAAAACAGTTTACATGATGTCATTAAATGTTTTTGTGACATCAGTAATTAGGCACCTGAATTTTTTTTTATAAACTTCATAAACAAATAGAAAAAGACCTGAAGTACTCCAAATAAAAAATACAGAGATGTTCTGGAAAGATGTAAAGGGGTGTGATAAGGGTGAAATAAGGGTGCTGATACAGAGTGAATACACTGTGTAATAGATAGTTTTCGATAGGCCTGAATTTAGCGAAAGTTACCTCCCATTGGTCGCCATATTGGAGGTCGATCCAAAATTTTCCCTTTTGT